AACATCCACATAATTGGAGAAAAGATTGAAGTTGTCAAAGACTTAATTTTGCTCAGGTCAACCATCAACATATTACATTAGGCAAATCTGCTGCACAAGACCTTTTTTATTGTTGAAGAGCAAAGATGTCAGCTTGAGGACTAAGGTGCACCTGACCTAAGCCATATTTTCGATAACCTCATATGCACGCAAAAGTTGGACAATGAATAAGGAAGACTGTAGAAGAATTTATGCATTTGAGTTATGGTGTTGGAGAATAATGAAAGTATCATGAACTGCCAAAAGAACAAACAAGTGTGTTGTTAGAAGTACAGCCAGAATGCTCCTTGGAAGCCAGCATGGCCAGACTTTTTCTCTCATACTTCGGACATATTGTCAGGAGGGACCAGTCACTGGAGAAGAATATGATGTTTGGTAAACTGGAGGGCTAGAGGAAAGAGGAAGAACCCTAATGAGATGGATTGGCACAGTAGCAGCAGTAATGGGTACACGTGTGGCAACAATTGTGAATTTGGCATAAGACCAGGCAGTTTCGTTATGTTGTACATAGGGTCGCTATGAGTCGGTACCGACTCAATGGCACCTAAAAACATTACTTTCATTTTGGTTAAATGTTGTCAGTTAGAAACATCCCAGGAATTTTTAAAATGACATTCCAGTATCTAAATATCTAAGAGTATTACATGTCATGATGGTATCTGGAGGGACAAGTGGGTGTAAAAAACGTGGAGGAGCACAATTAGTGTTATGAACCATGTACTCTTAATTTTCTTATACACTTATAACAAAAACTATTTTTCATTTACATTTCATCCCAATCTTATACAACAAAAAACAAAAAAAACCACTGCCGTTGAGTCAATTCTGACGCATAGCAATTTTATAGGACTGAGTATAACTACTCCTTAGTGTTTTCAAGACTGAATCTTTATGGGAGGTCTCTCGTTTCTCCTGTAGAACAGTTGGTGGGTTTGAACCACCAACCTTGCACCAATCAGCCAACACTTAACTCAAGACTCCTTAATGTTGTACAGGTAATTAAAGAAAATAAATTCTGAAGTTTGTGCACATTTGTAGGTATGGTGCATTTAATCTCAGATGCTAAGCAGGGTCAGGCCTGGTTGGCACTTAAATGGGAGACTGCCTGGGAATATTGGTTGTTGTAGGCTCTGCACTTGCACACAGCCACTCAGGAGCCCTGGTGTGGCACTGTGAGTTAATGTGCTGGACTACAAAGTCGGTTGAACTGCAAGGTCGGCGGTTCAAGCTCACAAGCCATTACTTGGAAACCCTATACAGAGTTTCTATGAGTCAGAACGGACTGGACAGCACTTAACATTTATGTATAGTGATGGCGTAGAGGTTACAAATTGGGCTGCTAACCTCACAGTGAGCAATTCGAAACTACCAGCTGTTCCGCGGGAGAAAGATGATGCTTTCTGCTCCTGTAAAGATTTACAGCCTTGGAAACCTTGTACAGGGTCGCTATGAGTCGGAACCACTCCACAGCACACAACATAGTGATATACAGGGGAGTTTTATAGAAGAGTTTACTTCTTACTATTACACTAAGGACATCAAGATAATGGAGTGGAAAGATTAAGACCATGGCCGTTAACCCTTTCAAGACCGAAGCATTTTCTGATTTTTTTTTTTTTAATCGTTTTCCTTCCATTACTAGGAATTTTGAATAAAATGAAAAACATTTTTTTGTATTTTAGGTTCCAGGGTCACTGAGTCGGAACCACCATCCCCAGTCATTTGAACCACAAGGTCGGTGGTTCAAGCTCACCAGCTGCTCCTTGGAAACACTATACAGGGTCGCTAGGGGTCAGAAAACGACTTGACAGCATTTAACAACATACCTGTGACTGGAGTCCTGGAAAGGAACTGTAGGATAAGCACTGGACCACAGGTAGGTTTGAACCGTTAGGTCAGCAGTTCAAGCTCACCAGCCACTTCAGAAACCGTACAGGGTTGCTTCTGAAATGACTGGATGGCACCAGCTCCCACAGCCTCAAGCATCAATGGCCTATCTTCTGACTTGCCAATTTGGATCCTTCAGTTCCTGAGACTGTGTGAGAGAAGACTCCTCCAGACGTGTATCTCTGCGCCTCCACAAGAATAGATATTACCTAACACTTAATTGTGCTATATAGACTAAGAGGCAATTGTGCCAACAGAACACAGGGGCACTAAATGTCAGTTTAACAAGAAAGGTGTGCACCAGGGTTGTATTCTTTCACCATAGTTATTCAATCTGTATGCTAAGCAAATAGTGCAAGAAACTAAAATTATATGATGAGGAACATGGCATCAGGATTAGAGGGACTCATTAAAAGTCTGCGATGTGCAGATGAATACAACATTGCTTGCTGAAGAGCAGAGGACTTTAAATACTTACTGGGATCCACCAATACTCATGGAAGCAGCAGTCAAGATTATCAAATGACTTATTGCATTAGGCAAATCTGCTACACAAGACCTCTGTAGTATTGAAGAGCAAAGAAGTCAGATTGAGGACTAAGATGCACCTGACTCAACGCATGGTATTTTCAACAGCCTTATGTGCGTATGAAAGTTGGACAGCAAGTAACAGAGACCATAGAACTGATGTATTTGAGTTATAGTATTGGAGAATATTTAAGTACCATGGGCTGCTAGAACAAATCTTGTAATGGAAAAAGCACAGCCAGAATGCTTAGAAGCCAGGAGAGTAAGACTTGTCTCATACTTCTGACAAACTGTCATAGGAGAGACCCTGGTACGATCAAAATGCTCTAAAGGAGATACAAGTTTCTTCCTTTAGAATAAAAACCAAAATTGCATTGTTAATGTCCATCTTTTGATGCCCTTTTCTAAATCATACCTCTGGGTGCAAGCATCAGTAAACAGTACTACTTAGTCGGTATTGAGTATCTAAGGGGAGCTAGGCTTTAAAGGGTAGGGTGCTACAGGAGAGGATTGGCTTGCTAGATTTTCTTTGATCCAAAAGAAGCTTCCACTGGAAAGTAAACAGAATGCATTGCCAGTTCCCCTGTATGCCTGGCCAGAAGCCATGTATTTTATTCACAGGGGAGACTGACTGGTGTCAAACCCTTAAGGTAGATGAAATAACCTTGCATTTTTCCAAACATAAGGACATCACGTTTGGTGAAGTGCAAGGTTAGGAAGACCCCCGAGATGGATTTGCACAACGGCAAATGGGTCAAGCATATCAATATGGTGAGGATGGCACAGGGCTGGGCAATGTTTTGTTGTCAAGCCTCCACAATTGTGTATCATTTCTTTTTGACAACTGTTGAGTTTTTGAGACACTGCAGTGTATTGCAGAACCCTGGGACTTGAAGGAAGGGAGGAGTGGTGATTGCTATTAAGGACTATGGAAGCATAAGACACGGTAGAAAAGTTGAACAGCTGGGATATCTGTTTACTCTAACTTATAGGGACCAGTTTAACTTTCTAAAAATCATTCATGCTGACATAAAATGGACTTTGATATAAGTAGTAGGACACATTATCCTGAGGAGTTTCTGGTACTGGGGCTGATGGGATGAGGACAGTTTGGTATGACCACGAGGAGTCCTGTTATGATAAGCACTGGACTGCTAACTACAAAGTCAGTGGTTCAAACCCATCAGCCACTCCTCAAAAATCCTATGCAGGGTTGCTGAGTCCGAAATGACTTGACAGCATGTAACAGTAATAAACACACTCACACACTGACAGTGGGATAGCAGCTTCCCACTAAACTCCAGAGGCAGAAAATGTAGATTGGGCACTGCACGTACCACTGGTCATTGAAGAGTTAACTTCTGACTGAAAGAATATTTTATTCACTAGACTAATTACTAAGTCTAGCATCACTAGGGCATCCTGGTGAGGCATTGTAGGATAAGCACGCCACTACAAAATCAGTTTGCAAACTGCAAGGTCAGCAGTTCAAACTCACTAGCCGCTCCTCTGAAACCCTACACAGGGTTGCTATGGGCCAGAATCGACTTGATGGCATTGAACAACAGCATCACTAGGAGTCCCTGTGTGGCACTGTATGATAAAGCACTAGAATGCAAAGTTGGCATGAACTACAAGGTCAGGTGGTTCAAACTTACCAGAAGCTCTTTGGAAATACAGGCTCATTTATGAGTCAGAACTGACAAGAGTGGCACTTAACAACAGTTTCAGTCAGCAAGATAAAGCCACTGAGCTGGTTATTATTAGGTTTCCAACCAAGAATGAATAGCTTCAAGTGTAAGTATATTGATATATAAATCCTCTCTTTAAGATGACCAGTAAAAACTAGGTTTCTAATGGTATGGCACTCAGAACCAGTACTAAAACTCTGCATAAAGGATGACTATTAAAAATTATATTGGTTTTTAAAGAGAACAAATATTTGCCACTGTGAGAACAAGTCTACAAAGCTACCTGAAATGATCCTATGAGACTGGTCTCAAGTCAACCTCTGAACTACCTTAGTTAGAGAGCTCAGCATTGTCAGTGCATCACCCAGATCTATAGCTACCTATCAATATGAACTCTCTTCCAAGGGGCAATATACACATTTCTAGAGAACATTTCTACAACCAAGAGTAAGGTAAACAGGGTTACAAAATGGCTACTGCCACTACTTTCTTCTACTACCTGAAAATCTTAATTTAGCATTGCTGTTGTTAGGTAATGTCAAGTCAGTTTAAACTCACAGGGTTTCCAAGAAGCAACTGGCGGTTTTGAGTCGCTAACCTTGTGTTTAGCAGAGCAGTGCTTATCCTACAGAGCCACACCAGAGCATTTAATTCAATAGTTCATTCGAAATAGTTAAAGATTAGGATAAACTGTTATCTCCTAAAATTCCTACTTAATTTTAAATAGCCAACTAGAATGCATGATATAAAACATGTATGTGAAAGATATATCCATCAGGAAATCTGTAATATTATAGAAGAAAAATGTCATAATGCTCTCTCACAGTTATAAAGGGAAAATGGAAAGACCACAGATATGAGTGAACAATTTTTATTGAAACCCTCAAAGATTAAAGAGGACCAAATGGTGAGTTTGGGTACCATAACAAAAAATCTCACCTAACTGTACCATCATTCACAGGAATGAACAAACCCAAACACCACAAAATTCAATTTCCCATGTAATTGCTACAAGTGAATATAAATGAATTAAATCATTTTATCATAGCCTCCCTTTAAACATATAAAAAAGGGAATTTACATGGCATTAACGAAAGATATGCAAAACTTACCGAAAACAAAATTCTCTTAAATTTCTCAAACTGATTTTTAAAGGATGCATCTGAAATGATTAAATGACTCAAGCTGATTCTTTTTTTTATTGCAAACTGTTTTAACATCAGCTTATCCCCCATGCATGGTATTCAAAAAGAACACAGCTTTTGAATTAGAAAGATCACAAGTTAAAATGAAGAATTAAGTATTGAAATTAGGAAAAGACTGGGGTTTCTTTTGAAAGGAATCTTCAAGTACCAACATGTATAGAAAAGAATACTAATTTTGGTTACATTTTTCCCCTTACTGTTTAAATATACAAACTATAATACCTTTCAAAATAAAATACCCACATAATTTTAATAAGAAACATTTCATAGCCAGAACTTCAAGAAACATTAAGCATGAAATTTACTAGGCCAGTGATTTTTTTTTTTTTAATTTGTGATTAATCAAACATTTGCTGTGTTTCCTATTGTAGAGCCCAGGTTCTTTCCCTTTGGTGTCTACAGTAGTTAAGAAACATTCAGTTAGTTGTGCTATTGAGACAACCAATGATAATCACTTAGGGGAGAAATGTCTTGCAATACCCTTGACAGAACTCAGAGTTAGAGTAAGGTGGGAGTTCTGGAGAAACTTTAAATGACAAAAGCACAAAATTATCAAGTGAAAAATAAGAAAACAAACTTGTTTTTTTGTTTCCAAAGGAATGCTGCACCCATTTAATTTAAGATTAGAAATCCAGGTTAAAGGCACTGGGATGTACTCCTCACCATGGACAGACTATTCAATTACACTTGACATTTCTGAGTCTGATACGGCAATCAGCTTGCTTGCTGTTTCCATGACACTTCTCACATAGAAATTTAATGTTAATTAAACAAGTTTATTCATTTGTAATGTAACTATTTTTATAAAAATATTCAGAGTTGCTAATAAAGCACCAAGAAAAAGAGAATCTCAGGGAGAGAACTCAAATCCTTCCTACAAAGTCACTCCCTTTAAAGTTTTCTCTAATAGACCTCCAAAATGACAACAGTCATATTTGACTATTGTGCCTTATCTATATGTAATATTAGGGATGTAGAACACTGCTACAGTGACTATATCCAAATGCCAATTTTCATTATAAATAGTTAAAAGAGACATTTTACAAGATTTCATGGCTTATTTCTTAAACTCTTAAAAAGGTAAAATAGGTGCAATTTTCCTTTAAGAAAGTCTTTATTTTGTAATATACTGTATTTTGATGTTCCCTTCAGTAAACACTAATATAATTACTCTGGGACTAACTACTAAAGAACTGTGAAGTAGCTATGGTTATCTCCAAATACTGTAACTTTTTTCATTTGACTACAGTATTTGTACATTTTAAGAAAATATTATATAAAAAAATTCTATAACTGAAAGCCTCAAAGAAATATGCAACTAAATTTCTTTTAATTGAAGTGACCAAAGACCACAGTAAATGAAAATACTTCTAAACATGATGTAAACATAAGTGGAGTAATGGAAAACATCAAGGTATTCAAATCTACTGTATTGCTATTTCCACCCTTAATAACATATCGCCTTTCTACAGTCTTCTTTTATAACAGTAATATAAGGGGCAGTACAATATCTTCACAACCTTATGCCATCAACTCAGTTAATACAGATGCTTCACACATTATCATTATAACAAAATCAATTTGTTTCCAGATATAAAATTAATGTTGATATGTAATTAATTAAAAAAAGATGTTAAAAAAAGGATAACTAAAAGAATACCCAGATATATGCTGTATTCCCATTTATATAGCTCTGATCAATAAAACATCAACACATTCACTTAGATACTGATTTAATCCATGGATCAAGGCCATATTTTCAAAGTATTTTAAGGATGCCAGGACACTGCAAAAGCTGGAGAAGTTGAGGAACAGTATATATACTTGCTAAACAAGAACTATGTGTTTATTTTGCTAATGAATATCTAGAATAATAAATTTTTACTTCATGATAGCAATCAGGCTCGCAAACACCCAGAAATAGGGATTAAGGGTTTTAAATGTAGTTATAAAGGTCATAAAAAGTCTGATTAGACTGAGGTACATTTACTCAAAATTTTGAGATTCATTAAGTGGTAGCAAACAAAATAATTCCTCAGACAAATGCACATTTTTTCAGTATACATACTGGGGGAAGGAAGGGAGAAGAATGTGCATTAACTGGTGAAATCCACCAAGCTGCATATCAGTATTTTGTTACACCGAACAAATTGAAGACAAGGGAAATGTTCTAATATAATTTCAGATAATGTTTCATTTGGCTAAAATAGAGCTTAAGGTTGCTTTGCCTTATTAAAAGTTTACTACAATAATTTTCCACATAAACATTTAGACTTGAACTCCAGGACTAAATATGGCATGATTATTTTGCTTTTAATCTGTCAAATAGCTAAAAATTGACAATTTAAAAACTACAACAAAGAAAAATTGAAGCAGTGTGACTCTTACATCATTGAACCACTTCTTATGGTTAACTGTTAGTATTTAACAAATTCAAAGAGTTAATGAATCCTTGCATTCATTCAGTCTTCTGTGCCTTAGCTAGGATGCATAATTACAAAAGACAGCAGATACTGGTAAAAGCTTCAGGACAGAAAGTGCTTGACGAAGTTACAGTTCTCAAGTGTGTTTGGTGAGAGTATAAGGGCATATGCGCTGATGAAAACCATTACAAGAAGAGTCAATTCTGTGTTAAAGTGTTCAAAGATGTCACCTTAAGCAGAAAAAAAGCTTTAATAACGTCTTCTTTGACTTATTAGGCATTTCCAGAGTCTACGTCATTAGTGTTGTAATTCTAATAGGATTATCTCCATAAGGTTATTGTTTGTTTCTATTTCTCTCCTGAAAGAAAAACATAAAAAGAATTACAATAAAACACTATCAATGCTTAAATATAAATCATAAGTACATATAATATAAATCATCTCCATATAAAGATCTTCAAATATTACTTCAAGAAGCTGGTTAACAATGACTTACTACTCTCAGTCCATAGTGGGATGATTACTGTGAAATATTTGAAACAAAAATCCCAAACACAGAAACATACTCCAGGAAAGGTCCTCCCCAGAGGTGGGAGGATTTTGATCAAGGTGAGATACAACAGTGCCTTTCTGATCCTTTCAATGAGCTGGAAGATTTCTTTTTTTTTTTTTTTTTAATTTACTGTGGTAAATTTTTGTGTGACATAACATTTGCCATTTAAACATTCCTCACATGTAAGTTCTGTGTTAATGAGTTTTTGATGGTGAGGTATCAAACTAATTAAGACTTTCTAGCAGTTGAAAATGATTAGTTAGCCATGGTTCAGAGTTGGATTAAAGCAATATTCCAATGTTGTTAAAAAAAAAATAATCAAACTCTGGATCAAAAATTTCCTCCATATTTTATTTTCACAATCAACACATAACTTTTCACCTCAAGGAGTATGATTAGTGTTAGGTAGATTCAGTCTGCAATATAATAAATTGAGAGAAATAAAACATTTCCATCTATCAATGAAAAAGAAAACAGCTTGAACAAAAACCAAACTAAGTGATGTTTTTGCAATATATATCAAGTATTTACTTGATACTTTAGATTGAAACCATGCATGCCAATCAATTACATATTTTGTACCATCTTTGTCATAATGTGTAATTCCGTTATTCTCAAAACTTAGCAGTCATCAGAATCAGTGATTACTGGACCCCACCCATCCCCCACAAGCCTGAGGTGGGACCTTGTGAATCTAACAAGTTCACTGGAGATACAGTTGCTCCTGGTCCAGGGACCTCACACTGAGAACCACTAGTGTTAAACACATAAGACTCTTTTCTTTCCCATTCCCATTTTATTTATTTTGCCCTCTGTAAAACATGTTTTACAGTGGACATCAATATACTTTGCAAGTGCATAAAGCTGCTAATTTGAAAGAAAACTTCGAGTTCTTTGTTATTAAAGTCCTTTCTAAGCCATACAGCAAATCTGAGAAGACGTAATAATAAAAATCAACAATTAAAAATATATCCCAAGGGAATAATCTTACAATCCAGGGACAAAGGACCCTAGAACTATCAAAGCAGAAGAGCACGAGTGGAATGTGGGACTCTATGCAGAGAAGTAATGACATCAGAGATGGGAGGCAGAGATGAGGAAGGACATGGAGAGAAAACGCAGCTGAAGACTCTACACTCAGGAAAGAAAAAGGCTGTGTGCTGGCAGCCAGGAGGCAGGCTTGCAGAATGTGCCCTTTAATTGCTGAAATGATTCCATATTCCTGAGTATTTTTGTGTACATTCCCCAGTCCCCCACAAACAAACAAACAAAAAAAAAACAGAGGAAATAGAAGTAAATAGTGTTAATTGATGATGCACAAAGGAGATTGTAATCACTGCAATGAAATGAGTGTAAAACTGTTCTCTCATGTAAACTATCACTCAATTCACAATAAAAACTTAAAAAAAAAAAAGTCCCAAGGAAACAAACAAAATCCCATAGGCTCATAAGGTTTTACAGGTGTATTTGGTAAACTACCCAAGATTTATCACTCCAACTTATACCAACTCTTTCAGAGAACAGAAAAAGTGGTATTTCCTAACATATTCAAAGATTACCATTACTTTGATGCTAATACTGCCAGGAAAAGCTAGAGAAAATAACAGTATAGTCTCATTTGCCACAAAGGACTTCTTAAGCGCTATTTGGTTGGTATAGAAATAAAAGAAGTAAAAGTGGAAGCAGGAAGGCGCGTAAGAAGGCCTTCGTACAGAGTGGAAGCTCTACAAGTGTATGGCTTGGAATACATTATGAAAGAAAGCAGAGTTAACAAGGAAGTCATGCTGATGGGTAAGATATGGAACAAGAAAAGTATCAAGAATGAGCCCAGAAAAGAGAAAGACTGTGTGCTGGTGGCCAGGAGGAAGGCTTGCAGAATGTGCCCTTAGACTGTTTAAATGATTTTATATATATATTCCTGAGGGTTTTTGTGTACATGCCTCCCTCCCCACGAAAATTCAGAGGGAACAGGAGCAATTACTGTTTAATGATGATGCACGGAGTGGACTGTAATCATTGCAATGGAATGATGAATGTAAAACTGATGTTTCTCCCATGTAAACTATCACTCAATTCACAATAAAAACTTTAAAAAAAAAAAAAAAGGGTCCAGAATTTGGCACCTGAACAACTAGAAAAATCAGAGGTGCCTTCTATGAAGATGGAGAGTGCTTCACAAAGAGTGAGTGGAAAACGTGAATTAAAAGATAATGAAAATTTCCCACTAACTTTCTGAAGCCTCTTCATATTAAATTGAAAATGCTTATTATTAACTATGATGTCTAACTGTTGCTGTCGTTAAGTGCTGTCAAGTAGGTTTGGACTCACAGTGATCCTGTATAGGGTTCCTGAGGAGTGCCTGGTGGTAAGCTTGAACCATCAACCTTGTGGTTCAAACTGATATTGCAGTCCAGCACAGGCAACCAGATATGGGACTCTAAAAATCAGATGCAAGGTCCAGGCACACAAGTTTTCGAGTCCTTAGTGCATGGCAAAGTTTATAAACAACCTAAAGTCTCCAGAAACCTATGGCCCATACTTTAAAAAGCTCTGCTTTAAGATCTACCCTTCCCATCCCACACCCCTCCCCGACAAAATCACATTTATTAGGCTTGAAGACTGTACCTAGCATTGTTACTAAATAAATATTTGAGTACAATGAGATACCTATGGCCATGCTGTCAGCTACCAAACCCAGTCACTGCTTAGAAATAGGGAACTAAATGATGAGCTATCACTGGCATCACTAGCTTCTATTGTAATTATATATGAAGCACAGATTACACAATTGACATCACATTGGCAGGCACTAGCAGGATAAGCACTCAACCTCAAGGTCAGTTTGAACCACAAGGTCAGTGGTTCAAACCCCCTAGCTGTTCTTTGGAAACCTCATACAGGGTCGCTGTTAAGTTGTAACCAACTCTATGATATTTAACAATTGTTGTTAGGAGAGTCTTAGTGCAGTGCTGTAGGATAAGCACCGGACTGTTAACCACAAGGTCAGTGGTTCAAACCTACCAGCCACTCCTCAGAAACCCTATACCAGGTGTCACTGTGAGACATTAACAGACTAGACACTCAGCAACAGTGTTGTTAGAAAGTAACAGATAGATAAAGGAAAGAAGAATTATACAAAAGAAATACATTCCAGAATGACTTAAGTTGATAGTGATAAGTGACAGCTCAAAAAGTGGTACTATAAATACACACAGTTCTTAAGATAAAAATTTTCAGAGAACCCCTTTATTTTGAGTAATAGATGACACTTAAAACCTGATTTGAAGGATTCCCCCCTGACATCCCTGTACCCCGCCTTCTACTCACAGCATTAAGCCTCAGTCAGGCAGATCCTGAGATCTAAAAGACACCTAGACAGACTGAGAAAAATTGGGTGCTACTGGTTAATGTGCTGGAATGCAAGGTCAGTGGTTCAAACTCACCACCTGCTTCTCGGAAACCCTATACAGGGTCGCTATGAGTAGGAACCGACTCGATGGGAAGACCAATATAAAATCATTAAGACTTAGAACTTGGCATCTGGAGATATACTCTTGGAAAATTAATGCCAAACCAGATCTTTGTTATGAAGTTCTGGATGAGCTAAGACCTCCTTAAGCCTTCTTTCAGGCAAATGAAGAATTGGAAAACAGATTCTTTTCAATTTCTTCAGAGGAATTAATAGTTTACCTTAATGCTTGAGGCAAAGGACACATTTTTCCTTTATTACTCGTAGGTTTTTCACCATTAGCAACATTTCAGTAGCTAGATTTGAATCCAAAGGAGGCACAAAGGAAAATTAACTGCCTATCCAGAAAGGAAACAGTAAGGATAATCACCCAGAGCACAAGTTTAATTAAAGAGAAATTCCGAAGGAGACCGTGGACACCTGAAAAAATCCAAAAGGATAGAAAAAGCTCTGGTAGCGTAGTGGTTACGAATCGGGCTGCGAACCTTAAGGTCAGCGGTTCGAAACTACCAGCCGCTCCGCGGGAGAAAGATGAGGCTTTCTACTCCCGTAAAGATTTACACCCTCGGAAACCCTGTACAGGGTCGCTATGGGTCGGACCCGACTCGATGGCACTTAACAACAACAACAACATACATAGGTACTGCAGATGCAAATACAACACACACCAAAACAAAAACAAACTAAACAGACTGGTAGTGTAGTGGTAACGAGTCAGCCTGCTAATCTTAAAGTGAGCGGTTCAAAACTACCAGATGGTCCACAGGATGAGGCTTTCTGAAACCCCATGCAGGGCCACTATGAGTCAGAACTGACTCCAGGACACATAACCACCTCTACCAAACAAACAACATTTTTTGTAGCTTAAAAATGTGGTTTTCAAACAAAAAAATGCATTAGATGAATTAAAGGGGCTAATAGCCAATGCTGGACTACTGGTGTGACACTGTAGGACAAGCATGGGACTGCTAACTGAAAGGTTCAGGGGTTCAAAGCCACCAGCTGCTGCTTATAATCCTTGCACAGGGTCACTGAGTTGGATCTGACTCTTAGGCATTTAACAACAAAATGACCGGCAGTTGTTATGTGCCATCAAGTTGGCTGTGACTCACAAGCAACACTATGTACAACAGAACAAAACACTGACCAGTCCTGCGCCACCCTTATAATTGTAATGCTTCAGCACATTGGTTGCTGCCAGTGTCAATCCATTTCGCTGGGGGTGGAAGTGGGGTATTCCTCTTTTTTCGCTGACCCTCCACTTTAACCAAGCATACTGTGTCCTTCTCCAAAGACAGGTTCTTTCCTTCTCCTGGTGTGTCAAGTATCAGACCAA